AAGTAAGAGCCGTTTGATTGCTGATAACAGCACATCACTGCTCCTACATATCCATATATATTTACGTCTCATCGGTGTTCTGTCTAAGTACTGCATCGTGTTAAATAATGTGAGTGGTTTGACATTCCTTTTTCGTATTGTATTCTGGTAGGTAGGCAATGGACAAAGACGTCTCCTTTCGTATTTCCCACACTAATCGCATGATGGAGTGTCCAGGAAGAGGCATTCAGAAGTAGTGTATGCGTTCTCGGTGGTTGAATGCCGTTATCATCTTCTGATAAATCTGCCAACTGCTTGTCATATGTGAACTACGAACACGCTTGTGCAAAAAATTTACTGGAAGAGTGTGACTCCTAACTGTGAGCAGTTTTTCTCTGCTAGGTCTGTAGATTTCTGGATTAGAAGACAAAAGGCCTTAACTTATTGCCTGTAATGCGGTCCAAAAGACCCTTTCTCCACCCAGTGGTAATGGGTCTCGTTGAGGAACCATAGGCCTGCTAAGGTTTTAACGTGCTCTGGATGACGATGTTCACGATTCTGCTTTGCTGTCGCCAAATATCCCGTTCTGTCTCAGCTCCATTTCAAGGTATACTGTAATCAAGTAGACTGCACAAAGGTCATAACAAAGAAAATGGGAACATTGGATTAAAAAGGCGATAATGTGGAGACGTTCATGGGAGCAATAAGGGGTCAGCTTCAGTTCGGGGTTGTGGTGCATCGACCATAGTTTTTACCTTGTCATATAATACTTACAAACCGTTTTTACCAGGACGGTGGCCAGGTTCTCGAACATAGTTTACAGAACTCACTTTTAGATTCATTTAGCTTCTATCCACCCTTCTGAAGTCTGTGTAACACAGTAATCTAAGTTCAAATCGTCTGAACGTGTTGGTTCGACCAAGACAAACACAACCACATAGGATACGTTCCACAGATCCGCTGAAAAATCACCGGAGCTGAATCTATTCCAACACAGTCATCCTCGAGACGGATGTAGTAGGCTACTCAAGGCAGAGTGAGCGCTGTGGAATTGTTGCGAACGGCAAAGATCGCTTAACTACGATAAGTCAGTTAAATCCATATCCAGTTTTACGGTGAAGTCACGTGTTTTCTCTTAGCATGACGACTGTTATGTGGCTCCGAAAATTCCTCATCCATGTGACGTCATTTATTGCATCTGTGCGAATACGTCATTTCTGATATAATGTACATAAATCCTCAGAAGTAACGGTTGAGCTGTGTGTGACTCCCCACCTAACTGTGTGATTCAAGTTCTATTTCAAGCCTGCTCCTTTTCACCTCTTCTTGCTTTCAGCCACGAGCTTCGCGTGCGGCATGTAGTGAATTGCGAATCTTACAACGCTTTCGGCATCCCGGATTGCCACCCCTGGTAGGTTACGCGTACGACGTTCATTCGGGCAGTCCGGACATAATCGTGTTGCAGCTGTTCACTCCACACTACTCGATAGGCTGTCTTCGTAACTTTCTGGCTACACAAGACAGTTGTTCAAAGTTGGACGCGGTGCAAAGGCTGCGTATTCTTCATACTATCGCAAGCACCCTGTCTTTTTTACACAACAACAAGCCGGACGAAGGTGAGTGTTCTGATCCAGAGCATTAAAATCAGGCGATCGATTGGCACCCGTGAGCGCAGCTAACCCAATCCCGCTGTTGGGGGACGAGATGGCCAAGTGGTTAGGAGCGCGAATTTACTGACCGGAGGGTCCGTGGTTCGAACCCGACCTCTGCCTCTTGACTCCCCTGTCTAGGCTTGGACAACCTGGCAGTGTCCCAGCCCTCATGCAACCTTCGGGTGGCATGGCAGTTAGGCATCGAAAGGGTGCTAAAGCTGAACGATTTATTTAATCACGCTGTTGATCGGTCACTCCTAGTTGCAAGTCACTGTTCAGTGTCCTATAAGGAAGTCTTCGACTATGAAACACCCTAGAGATATGTAAGGTGCGTACTGCTGGCGAATCCACTGAACGACGGAACAGCCGTAGATTGTTTTGCGGCGTTGAATTTACTTGCTGGCTGAAATACAACAAGGAGGCTATACTGCGTTCCCTCCTTGGAATGGAGTGTAGCCGACGAATAGCAACTGCACCCGATGATCAGCTATCCTCTGAAGTGTAGTGATTCCCTATGAGACGGCATCAAGGGAAAGGGAATTTAGGCATCGGTGGAAGGATTTCCATAAGTCCTGGCTAACGGAAATATTTTAGGGAATGGCCCCTCTTCGGATGGTTTTTGCTTGTTGGAGTCTAAAAGTAAACGGCCAACATCTACTACTTACACTAGGTGCCCCTCCAACCATTTTTGCTTGCTTTTGGACTTCAGTTGATGGTTTTGAGCCTGTCAGATCAAAGAGGATTCGAAAAGCTGTTCCACACATTTAATACACTAGGTATGAGAGAATACATGGATCAAGATTATGCTCATCGGCTATAGCGTGCGTCTGGAAACAGAGCTCGACAAATTTCATTCGATGTTGCGAACCCAAGTATCATGTGACTGATGTCGTGGGATCACCATAACGGACTATTCTATCGGTTATTCTATACGCCAAACTGCGCTCCCCAAAGACCAAAGCGTTTTCCTTTCTGACTGTTAAATAAATGAGTTAAGATTATTCATTGGCTCACAGACTGTGAATTTGGGATTGGAACAGTCTTATTAGTTTACCACTTTCAGTTATCTCGCTGTTCATTTCTGGCAGTTATCTGCAATATTATCCTGATTTCTTGTTAGTGTGTCATGGCAACATCTGCAGTCGGTGTATCATGTTGACAAAATCCATGGAACCAATCCTGTTCGACTTTACGAATGCGTATTCCCCAAGCCGATCGTCGGAACGCAAGGAGTCTCCTAATCCAGAAGGTTACCACTACGCCTCCCATCTACAATGTTCCGGACTCTTCAGAGATATTTACAGTTTTGGAGTTTTATCGCTCGAAGTCTGGTTGAATGAGGAACCCATGCCCGGATACTGGACTGATAATCACGGATCGCCTGTGGTATCTCCGGGTGTTTCATTGGTAGGTTGTATGTTTTTGTTGCAAAAAGTTTGTTGGTTTTCTGTTGATCCCTCAAGGTATCTTCAATCACTTGGCGGCCAATCGTGCGACGGCTGTTTAAGTTCTTCCACTTGTATCTAACCTATGCTGTAACGCTGGAAGCTCGGTTTTTATGACGAATGGCACACCAGGAATTTGCCGATGAGAGACCATCCAGGAAAGATGTTTTGTGTGGACAAAGACTTCTTCTGTCTAACGTTGCGAGTCTGTAGGTTCCAGGATAGCTTCCATCCGACTATGTAGCAAAACAGTTCTGTATCCACAGTCAGAATTTGAAGATGGACCAAGATCTGAACTTGTTATATGTACAATTTTTGTCCGACTTCTTGTGTGTCCCGTATTTCAGGCTACAAGAAACGCGTACCTTAAGCATATCACAAGAGGTTGACTTCATATTGAAGACTAGTTGCGATTAGAACCAAAAAAGTAGCAATCATAATCGCGGTCTCTGTGCCCCCAAATCGCCTGGTGTCTTTGGTTCTGCATATGTCCGTGCTTCTCTTTTCGCGGTACAGAAGGAATTTTTTTATCCTGGAACGTAATCTGACACTTTTCAGCGGGAAGTGAATACCTCTAGGCTAGATTCTGACAAACTTTTCTAAAATCGTTTAACTTCGCTCTTTTTCGGGAAATAAGAACATGAGAACATCCACACAGGGTTTCGCAGACCCTCCCCCTGCAACTACTATCGTTGTGATTTTAAAGTTGAACAAAAGACCAAGCATCCATACATCGATCGTGCTTTTGAATATTGACGCCTACATTCTCACGTGCTAACAGGTATTTGAATTTGAACACGCTCTTCATATCCACCTACATCTGACGCATACCATGGAACAGAAACCAGATCACAAAGATAGACTGACAAACTGTGGTATGTGCATCCCTGAGACAGATTTGCGGTTGCCTGTATTCATACAGGTGTTCCGATATGTGTTGTTGGATTGGTGCAGTTGCGAATGGACTGGAATCCCTTTGTCATTCTCACGTCAAGGCATGGGATTTCACCTTGGAGCGACGAGTGCTAGCCGTTTTCATTTGTAGGTAGGTGGCCATCCACTCGGTTGCTGCAGCTGGAAGACAACCGGAATCGGAAGCTGGTAGTCAACGCATGACAATTAACTTAGAGCAGATTTAGTCTACGTTTGAAACGTCAGATCCACTGTAGACCATAAGTTGCCCTGATTGTGCACTAATCTAGAAGCCGGTTTGGAATCAAGCCATGACCCTAAGGGCTCTCACAGTTTTCCGCATTTCGGTATCATAGTGCCATGACCCAGAAATGGGAGGATTTGTTTGTCTGACCATATGAGCTTCTTTCTTGAACTAATTTCAGTATGGATAATGCCGAAAAGTGGTACTTGGGTAGCACTTAGTGAAAATCGATTTGCAAACACTGAGCTTGCGATAGCTCTGGGACTGAGGCCCTGGTTATTGAACCAAGAGGCGGTAGTTCGAATCCGACTCAAAATTTCTGTTGTAGTCAGCTCTTCTGTTTCTCTTTTTTTCCACAAAGGAACGCCGTTTGTGCTCGTTCAAATAGGAAATAATTGTAAGAGGTTCTAGTTTTTATATTGACAAACTTTCCCTCCTCTCATACACTTCGCGTTGGGTGTTATTTGCATTGAAAACTCAATGAGGCGCCCGGAGTTGTTCATCTATTGTAGAAACTTTGAACTATTGAGTAGTACTGAGACTACGTCTACGAATGATCATTCTGAAACACGGTAGGTTTCCTCCTCGCATTAGTTTAAGGCGTCATTTCTCAAGAATCTATTGCGGCCATGTTAGGATGATGGGAGGCTTTAAGCGTCAGGTCATAAGGCAAACTTGAGCAGAATCTGGTAGCGAGAATTAAAATAACTGTTGATATGGCCTTACGGTACGAAATCTTCGTCTGAACCTTCAGAACTTCCTCATCATGTGAAAGACAGAAACGCTTTAGACGGAGATTTCGTCCCATCTGCGAAACCGATCTATGCTGAAAAACCGATAACCACTCTCTGGTTCATGATCTTCGTCTGAACCTTCAGAACTTCCTCATCATGTGAAAGACAGAAACGCTTTAGACGGAGATTTCGTCCCATCTGCGAAACCGATCTATGCTGAAAAACCGATAACCACTCTACATCTGTTTCATGCTTGCTGGGAATCATCGGCTGTACGCATCTCATGAAAATGCAGGGAGTTCCATACCCACGGCCTTCCGGCTAGCAGTTGAACACTTAACCATTCGGTCACAAGCGGCTGAACAGCAGTGTGATTAACGAATATACACTCATTTGCAAACTAATTTGGTTTTGCGAGAGACTCACTTGGAACCCATCTGAATCTCTCGTTTGTGACGTTTCGTGAGACGGCTTGGTGCAGCACATCCAGTTAGGTGAACACATCATAAAAGGGAGATTCAGCTGGGTTCCAGGTGAGTCTCTCGCAAAACCAAATTGGTTTGCAAATCAGTGTATATTCGCTAATTTCGTGCAATTTGGTTTCAAGTAGAACATAAGTTTGACGGAAACCCGGGAACTGCGCCTACCTGATGAGCCCCAAAAAAGGGAGAAACTGGTGGTGGGCTGTCGATGGATTTTCAGCAACCTTATGAGTGATGCATTACAAATATATAGCAGTGTGATTAGTTCTCACTTAGAGAGGGTATAGCGCCGCTCATTCTTCACTCACGGAGACCGCACCAGGTGGTCACGTATTGACTCGCTCTTTGAGGGATGACATCTCAGAAGGAACTTCTACCCATCTTGTGAAATTATTCTTCCTCTGAGTTTGTCATAGACTGATCGTAGTCTTAGAAGATTCGTGGTAATTTTAAACTGAGATTTCTTCCTGTCGGTTTATCAAGTGTGTCTATCGAAATGCTCGTTCAAGTAACCGTTCGCACATCATTTACTGTTTCACTACCGTACGTCAATGGTATCGAACACCGCCCATGTGCATTACAGCTCACTATATGTATTCTGCTGGAAGGTAAAGCGTCCGCGCACAAATCGACATGGCCCCAGTGTCTTGATTACAAACAGCCGTGTGCTATGTGCATCTGTTCGATTAACCAACGCACTGATGTTGCCAGCTCAACTGTTAATGAAACGTTTGCGACGAAAGTGTCCACCTCAGCAAACAAATTAATGACTAGAAATTCTGGTTAATTTAAGACAAACCTCAAAACGAATCCTCTCGAAATCTATCTGTGAAAGGAGTTCACCACGAAGTCGTCCGTTAGCAAACACAAACTAAACAGTTACAAGCTATTGGGCGGGAAAGTAAACCTCTCACCTTATTTTTAAAAACTCGCGCGTCTTCTTGAACTTTTGTGGATATTTATTGTCTCTCCGGCAATTGTGAACGAATGCCGCAAGCAGTTCCATAAGTCTCGCAATAAGCCCCACCTTCCATTAGACGCGAGGCGGAGTTACTAGAAAACTACATACTACTCGCGTGTCTCATCAGTAATATCCGGCGTTACATTTGAAGTGGTAAGTGTTGGGAAACATAACGCCTTACAGAACCCTAAGAATTTCTTACGATTGAGCATTGAGATTAGAGACTCAATTGCGTCTCACGAGAGACCCCCTTGCTGCATCAACGCAATGCACGGCCTAAGTATTCATTCAACAAATGCATGAATTGGAACTCAAGTAAGAGATGAGTTTGAATTACGAAGACTGTCCCAAATGTTGGGCCATAAGCAGGGAAATGCCGGTTCATATCTGCCGGTTTATATCAATATTTTACGTTTGCCCTTGTTTGTTTGATTTCGAAACAAGTGTCGAGATGAGTAGGATGAAGCTGGGAACCAATTCGAAGGCGCGCAAGTGGGATCGAATCCGGGTGATGGAATTGGAAACTCACGATCTTGTCCACCCTGTAACTCATACTACTTAATAGGACGTGCATAGCACAGTTGGTGAACCATAGATCTCCTACTTCTTGCTCAAGTTCACCCCGCAAATGATTGAATTCCCATTGAGCGTACTGCTTGGAAAATGGAGGGGCATGTGGGGTCGTGCTTAGGTAGCCAATAGGATGGTGACCATTGAGCGTACTGCTTGGGAAATGGAGGGGCATGTGGGGTCGTGCTTAGGTAGCCAATAGGATGGTGAACCGAGCAAGTTTGAGAACCTTGGGTGCGAACTATAGCGGGTTAACTAAACGGTTGCTGTTAGTTCACTTGCCTATTGACAAACGATCTGTTTTAAAATGCAGCAAGATGGTTGAACCACCTGATCGCGAAATCAAAGCTTCTCGCTTCAGTTGAAAGATGCGATTTCCTTGTATGGTGCATATCTTTCTATGTTTTCTTCGAGATTTCCTCAAATCCGCCATTTGTTTGTTATATCTGCTGATTCGCCAATCTGAGGTATCTGCTGCCGACCCGCTCCAGTGCCTAGTGCCGGAGAAAAAAGACCCACAGACTCACTGCCATATTCCGAACAAGCGAGTGCGAAAAGTACAACGGTCTCAAGCCATTTATTGCAAGGACACTGTCTGAACTTAGTCCAGTGCTGGCGCACACGATCTGGCTTCGGTACGGGGCTGCGATGTGCTTTATATTGCGGGGGCGTTGTCTGACCTTGATCAACGCTGACTCGCGCTGTCTGGGTTTGATACAAGGCTGTGAAGCGCTGCATAGTGAGGGGACGTTGTCTGTCTGGTCAACATCCAGGGGAGTTGAGAGTCTCCGTAGGTTTCGGGCATTCAGTGGTTGCTTTCAGGAAGCTGACCTTCCTGGTATTCTTCGTATGAGTTTCTACCACTCGCTCACTTCTAACCTCCAGCTGTAGATGATTTAGTCGCATTTTTCCGTAACTGTACACGATGGACTCGTGGGGACATGATGTGGTAAGCTGGTTTCTTTAATAGATAAGCAGGCTGTCACGGCACTGTAAATCCCAAGGTAGTTGCACAGCTAAGCACAAGGTTTCCAGTTCTCACCAGTGGTTGCGATAATCACAACTTCGCTTTTTAAAAACTGACGGTCAGGCACATGTTTTTGCCATGTGTTTCAGGTGGATTGTCCAAGTTTTGGAATGGGTGACACATGTTGTACACATGGTTTCTGTGCGCACAGCTGAAGATCTAATTCACATCCATGTCAATGTCTTTTGAACTGTCCTACCCCTGTCCTGGCGCAGTTATTCTCTTAAGTCCATCCTGAAAGTGGGAATCACTAAACTCGAGTTTAGCTCACACCAGGATTCATTAGCGGTGCATATTCTTAATCGTGCCGGGATTCGAGCTCTGGACCTCCGAAGATCATCATCAACATCACCACTGACACCAATACACCAGTAATACATACCAGCGCTCTAACACCATAGTCTGCATGGCCCATGAATGTGTTTGGGCTGAGATACTGTCAGATTCCCCAGTCCTAGACAGCAGCAGCCGAGATGCAAAGTTTTGGTTCGAACCACGGACCTTCTCGTTAGTAAGTTCGCTCCTAAACCACTGGGCTATCTCCGCCTCTTTCTTTTCGTTAAATTTATTTAAACCACACAGAGGACTGAATCTGTCGACGAGCACACACAAAAGCTATGCGTGTCGTACATCTGTGGACGACCGATCGGCGAAACTTGTTCTGCGAGCAAAAGTTGTCAGGCGAAAAAGCGAACGGCGAAGAAACTCAGGTTGCACAACTCAGACTGAAACCTAGACAGGAAAACGATTAAGATCCTCAACCCCAGCCTTCTTCGCGAAAGATTGCTCGCATGGCAGAGGTTTAGAATACCTCCATCAACTAACTAACCTATTAAGATAGACCCTGTGGACGCTGCATAGGTATCCCTCAGTACAGCTCAACAGATTACTAAGGTACGCAAACCGTCGCGCCGTAATATGATCCAGTCTTGTTGCGAGGGCGATTCTTTGTGCTGGACATCCGAATGGCACTAAACCTAATACGGATCATCTTCGTAGCCTGGTCGGACTTTGACCAGTCAGTATGCTGGCGAAGCATTTTGTGTTTCCCTTACGTCGGTTACGTTTCAGCACAACCTAATCGAACCCAAGCACACCTTTCACCCACACATGAACCAGCAAGAGAAAGGGACGAATCAGGGCACACCACCGGTGAATCGATCCGGCCGACGGTCCACAAAAAAACACAATCAGTAGATTCATACAGAGATCTTCTTGGTTGTTAAACTAAGAAAGAACTTGATTCGATGTATAATCTGAGGTCGAGAATAAGTTGTACACGAAACATACTTCCAAATCAAAATGACCATTAAGAAGAGGTGTCGTGGAAAATGGCAATACATTCCACCTCCTTTACAAGAAAAAAAAACAGGTTTGGTGGATCCAGAATCAAAATCGTTTTTGTTAGACAATCAGTCTGTTAGTGAGCTTGTCATTCATTTATCGATTTCATGGCATGAAGTTGAAGCAAAGTATTATGTTTCTTAGCTGAGCTTAAGTTCCCACACAAGCTCGTAGATTAGCACGAGCACTTCCAGCGTGGTGGGCCTGAATTTAACGATTTGAGAGCTTAATTCAAAAAGGAATAAAATTCTAGGCAAAACAGTATGTACCTAACAATCTACTGTCCCAGGAGACCTGTTGTTTTATACCTGGTGAATTTGAGACTCGAATTCAGACAGTACCAACTGTAACAGCGTTTTACACTCTTGTTTTCCTCTTTTTGATTCTTCTCGGTTTTTAGCATATTTCCCCTTATTATAACATTCTCCATCAACACGAAAAAAGTATATGGGGAAAGCGGGTATTTTGAAATGGGAAATCCTTCCTAATGCCAGTTATTGAGTTTGGTCAATTAAGTATTTTTGTGGTTTTTTGCTCGTTCGCATGTGTTTATCGAACAGCCCGACGGGTACACCCTTTCGGATATCATTTACAGCCGGTGGGAGCGTAATTAAGTGAAACTTGATCGAAAAGGTAATCTTCCTTCGGTACATTATA